CCCCCCATCTGCCATATTCTGGGCAGGGCCTGTACAGACCAGACTGAATACAAGGGAGGTGGGTAATTTATTTATTTTAAATAATCCCCCACCCCTTCACACAGCATGTGAGGGGGCCTGTACAGGCCTGTACATTAGGCTTTTTCTATCCTCAGCTACCCAAAACTTAGTAGCTCTCTCAGAACCGGTGGAAACAATAGTCCCTAAATCCGTTCCACAAGAACTACGTCAAAGGAAAAGGCTGGTTCCATAACTGATAAACGCAGTAGAATGTGAGTGGCCAATATGTTTTTTCTTCAACTCCACCATTAAATTGGATTTCTCTCCTTTAAATGAATAGTCTTAGCAACAATGTCCACAACTAAAATCTCATCTTCAAAACGTCAACGAAGTAAATTTTATGTGATCTTTTTCACTTCTCTATTGATCTCATTGCCAGATATAGTAGAATGAAATAATATGTCCCACCGTCACATGTTCTAACAACTACAATTTCTAATGCAAAATTTTTGGTTAAGTAAGAATTTTCTGCATGCAGCTCTCACAGGAAACCAAAAAAGATGTGATGGTGTCAACTGTCAAGGTACAGAAAAAGAAATCACGTGACTAATAAACATTCAGTAATAAGGAAAAAGTTGTAGAAAAATCTTGTATTATCAACAGTGAGAGCATAAAGATGGATTTGACACCATACAGATAAAAATCATTAACCAGCAAATGCAAAAAATGGAAATCTAGAACCAAGTATTGAAATGGTATCATAGATTCATATTATACCAACTCTACCCCCACAAGGACCAAATCTTGGTATATTTTCATATAGGAAGGTACACGTGGGTCATTATAGACGGAGAGAAATGTCAAAAATGGTAGAACCCAAATGGTTAGAGCTCAATGAAGATGGAGACATTTACAGCAAAATCACAACACATTTCAACCAGATTACCATCACAACTAATACAAGATAATAATAAGGGTGGCACCTAACCTTGAATAATTCGATATGTTGAATTTTATTTGCAGATCAAATAATCAATATTATGTCTCAAAAAAATGATAAAAATAACTCAAGTAAGTTTAGTGTTAATTGCTCGAAAAATCTCTCCACGGGCTAGTGAGCTGTGGTGCTTAAAGGGTATTTTGACCCATGTCCCACGATAAGCTGAGGCTACATGAGGGAGAAGCTAAGTTTGGAATACAATGATATGAATATTCCATCAACTTTCACGTTATAATTGGCAGAACCTCTTTAGTTACAAGCTCAGAGCAGCATCGCAATGTGTAAGAAACATAAGCAGTGACGGGATTATTAGTTCACATCAATAATAGAAAAATCCATTTTGACAGAACGTTCAATGTTAAGAATATTATCATATGCTCAACAGTTTTAAGACATCTTATTAAACTAGCTATAATAAGAGCATTAGCCTCCAGTTGGTTGTCACCTCTGCCGTCCATTTATGAGGAAAAAAAATTATAAGTTCTATATTATCTCACAAACCAACCATGCAATATGACAAGATAAATTTTCCATTTTTTTATTTTTTTTTTGGGGTACAGAAAAAATCCCGTGCCCAAAAAGAAAAAGGGGATAATATAATTGCAGGCACAAAATTTTGACAGCCACTGCCATTTAAAAATTTCTTATATTAATATGTGTAATTTACATTGTGGTATTCAAGATTTAAAGGTTTCTGATATGTGGCTATTCTTCGATACTATACAAACCAAATAATTGTAGGGCATGTAAACCATGAAGCTGAACGCGTGTGCAACAATATTGACCTCTTTTGTCATTGGCTTCAAAGTCACCTAACGGTCAATTTGAATGTTAGCTGCAGCTACACAATGCACGTGGATATGTTGGTACATGGACTGTATCATTTCCCTTCTTCGTTTTTATTCTCAGCTACCCACCAAGTCATATTTTTTTGCTACACGCTTAACTAATTCATTTCGATTTCTCCAAATTTCGTTTTCATAATATTTCTACCTGAGACTGGACCCCACAAAGCTAAAATAAGTTAAATAAAAAATGAATATTATTTGCTCTAACAATACAGGCAAAATAACGTTACAAACCTGTTTGAACGACGCAACACATATTACGAAATTGCTCCACTTTCATTTCACTGGAAGGGGAGACACATTAACAGTCAGATCATCATATTAAATGAAGTAAAATGGTTGTGTTAATTGATAATGAAGACTTCATGGTAAAAGGAAGATTGGTTGCTTAAATAAATCTACGAAAACAATAAAATGTATAAGAGATCGCAAAATAT